TATATATATATATATTAACATCACTACTGTATGTATGTATATACATATACATACATACACACACACATACTGCTCACATACAATGTTTTCTCAAAATGTATTTTTCTTGTGACTATATATTTATCATCTCTCCGAATAATGACATCGAAATAATGTTTCAAATAAAACATAACTATTTCTTGAAATATAGCAATTTGGAACATTCTTTTTTACAGCAGTCTGTTGTATTGCTGCAGTTGTATGTTTTGGATTTCGAACAGCTGTTGCCGTATCCTTTTCATTAAAAATAATAATACATGGTACTAAAGATTATTTTGTGTTACTTACTATTTAAAATGTATATTTTCGCTATTATAAAATTGCGTATTTTATATATATTTTTAGTCTAAGGTTTTCCCTAATATTTGTTACAATTTAGTTTTATGAAAACAAAAATGTGATGTGTGTGCAGCGTGTGACTAGACAATATACAATATAGACACCTACAAAATGAAAAATATTATTGCATTTGATATGTGTACACACAACACGTATCTCTCAGCCTTCTATGAATTAAATGATCCTGATGTGTGAGAAGAGAAGGGAATTATCTGTACCACCCCGGGCTTGTATTGGGTAAAGTACATGGGGTGCTGAGGAATCCACAATTTAGGATAATGAGGAGGAAATATTCCATAGCTGGCTAAAATGCGGGGAAATAGTAGTTTTTCGGTGATTATTTCATCACAGCCCGGCATCATCACGATGCCGGGCTGTGATGAAATAATCACCGAAAAACTACTATTTCCCCGCATTTTAGTAATAGGCTTCTGTGTTTTTTTCACTATGATAATGTCATTAATCTTCTATGATCGGGCGATCCTTCATCATCCCATTCAATGGTGTCCTTCCATCAGGTTTAATTTTCACCCTGACCCTCGAAGAACAGAGGCGGCATAAAAACAGAAGAAGTCAACAATAATAATGTTTACAAATCTTCATTCTAACAGTTTACATTTTTTTTTCTTTCCAAAATTATAAATGAGGAAAACGCAAAACAATAGATGTATATACAATACTTTGATCTATGGCTCTGATGATGGTGTTCCTCTTGCACTGTGATGTGTGTTCGGTTGAATTATTGATGTTTGTGTGTGATATATTCATGTGTGATTACATGTAAGCTCAGGCATATGGCTCCAATATAACTCTGGACAGATGTTGTGTGTCTGGAGGGAGTCACCTGTAGACTGTAGGGATCCCTCCACTGTGTAATAGAATGTACTCCGAGCTGGTGGTGGGGGAGTGGGACAGGTTTGGTGAGAACAATGGTGTCTGTCACCTGTGGAGACCCCTGTGTAACCTCATTAGTGTCTCTAGCCTGCTCTGATTCTCTTCTCTGTCTGACTTGTAGGTGTGAGGTATAAATGCCACCCGAGGGGAGGGGTCTGCTCACTGTACACTGGACATTGGACATGGTGGGATTGCTCTGAAGGATTGTGTCCTGATCAGCTGTTGACTCATCTGTGGCCTTCAGAGGAGGAGATCCAGGAGAACCTGCCACTGGAAGGGACATCTAGAAGGATTCGGTCCAGAGAAAAGATCTGGGATACAGCCCAGAGGACAAGGGATCTGGGATCCGCTCAAGAGAAGACATCTGGGATCCACTCAAGTGAAGAGATCTGGGGTCCAAACTAGAGAAGAAGATATCTGGGATCCACTCAAGAGAAGGAGGATCCAGGTTGTCACTGGAGGAAATATTGGATCCTGTGCTGCATCTCTAGAGAAGTTCTTTGGATCTGTGGCTGGTGAGAGCTGGAAGGATGTACCAGAGCATAGCCATGGCTGCTGCTAACCACGGACCCCCATCTTATGAAGGGGCTGGGGGCTACATGCACGGTGGTGCTACCTCTTCTCCGGTCTATGTGCCCACCACCAGGGTGTCCACCATGATCCCCAACCTGCCTTACCTCCAGAGCAGCGGCCATTCTCAGCAGGGCAGTCCGGTGTCTGGACACAACATGTGGGCACAGGCTGGGGCAGAGAGCTCAGCCTACAACCCCGGGACCCCTCACCAGTCGGTGTCTCCCCGCTTCGCCTTCTCCTCCAGCCCCCCCATTAGCGCTGCTTCCTCCAGAGAGGTGTCCTACAGCAGCCCCCTGGCCATCTCCGCAAATGGGAGAGATCAGTACAGCCGGGGGCTCAGTGCCACCTACAGCAGCCCCTACCCAGCCTATGTCACCCAGGACATGAGTGCCGCCTGGACTGCCTCCCCCTTCGACAGCTCCATGCTTCACAACCTACAGAACAGGGCAGGACCCGGCGCCCCCCGACACCCCAATATAGGTGAGTGCCATTCATACTGCCTGATCCCGGGTGCTACTATATGTGCCATTGTGATACAGCATGTGTGTATATATTGCTGCCATGCCAGATAATGTTCAACCATAGATACACCACCCTGCAGATGGAATGCGTTTTATGTATCGAGTGATATTATTAAATATAACACATTCCGAGCGATTTACTAAAGAAGTTCAGAATCTTCATTAAAAAAATGTAAACAATCATTTCAATCACGAGAAAAGCAAATTGCTATTTATTATAAATACCCGAACTTGTGTTTGACATGACTGGATATTGTGGCGAACAGTGACACAATTTCTGGAGTGAAGAGTCTCAACTTCTTTAGTAAATCAGCAGCAGAATGTATATAGTAATACAGTACATGTCTACAGGAAATAGTAAAATAATACATATATTTAGGGTCATTTGATGCAGACCAATATATAATATATACTCACTTTTTATAGCTGTGTATAGTGTTTTTCCTGTTCTTGGTTAATATTACTCTTGTTATTATTGTTATTATATTTTTATTATTATAGAAATGAAATATTCTATGGAATGCCTGGAAGAGGTAAGGGCCAGGCTTCATGTGCTGTTTTTTTGCTGCACTCCAATGCTGATAACAGTCAGCAGAAAGTGAAAGTTTAAAGTCTGCAGCTGTAGAATAATTCTTACAGGGATATTTATCATTCGTTGTGTACTATGTGTCAGCTGGGGCGGCACGGTTTGAACTGCATGCGGCGTATTTTATGAATGTGTTATGAGCTGTGCAATTCGTCAAGGTGTCAGAAGGTGTTTAAAGTCTGGTACATTGCAGAGGTCACCCAGCATAATACTGCACATCATTGTTTGCAATGTATGGGAAATATGTTGGTTAGGTGTTTCCAACACAGCAGAACCAGAGGGGGATCAGTTTGGGTCTGGAGACATATGTTGTCCCCCTTCTGACAAGTTCAAGGGGTCTTCCTGCCATAATAATATTCACATAACTCAATTTTTTGACAACTAAATGTTGATTTTCTAAGGCAGCGGCTTGTATTTTGGCAAGTGTTCACTTGTATCATCCAACCCAACTCTGTAGGTGGCTTAGGAAAGGTATTACCTCTGATCCTCATTGGCTGATTGAAACTAACACTTGGGCCGATTTACTAAAGTAACAGAGACTGTTCGATTAGCACTACGCTCATTAAATACAATGAAGCTGTGTTCTCTTCAATCAGCATGGGACTGTGTTGGGCAGCGCTGTAGCCAGGGGCTGACTGGCAACTTTTAGCCCAGGGGGCACCGTCCAGCGCCTGGAAATGCATGTCCCGGGCGTCGTGAGATAGGAATCCCACACCCCTGCTGCCCCTCTACTCCCTACTGCCCCAAGGCTGGGCCTTGGTTGGCCTTGTGGGAAATCCGGCCCTGGCCCCCCTCAAAGCTGTGTTCACTTCAATCATGTGGAAGTTCCCATTTACTTAATTCCTCTGCACGTGATTGGGCATTCAATGTGAACACAGGTTCACCAGGCCCAGTGAACATAAAACTCCCCTAGCGGCAAACCTATGGCTCAAGGGCCACATGTAGCCTTTTAAGGGTTATTGTGTGGCCCTCAGGCCCCAGCAGTTAGTGGAAGCACTGGTTTGTAATGGGGCTGTAACAGTAGTGGTCTCTTGCTATCTCTGACTGTTTCCTGCAGCACATCACTAATCCCCAACCCCTCCTGTATTAGGTCCACAGCCTGGGACCATCTCTTGTTGTATGTTCCTAGTCTTCTGTAGCATTACCAGTACTGAATATTATGGGTGGCCCCCCTTGGTGATGTCAGGGGGCAAAGTTGAGGTGCCTAGTAAGTTGACCACCACTGGTCTACTTCTTTAGTAAATCAGGTTTGGCTAGTGTCCTGAAATCATTAGTCTGTATTGTTTTAGAAAAACTGTCACATGTCAATAAACAAAAATGTATTAGTACTCGTATTTGTAAGTACTCGGCAAGTACCAGTACTCGCAAAACTGATATCTGTGCATCACTTTATTTATATTTATAAAAACAAAATCGTACATTAAAACATCGATGTACAAATCCCGGGAGCTCCGTGTGCTCACTACCAATGACAGCCGCCTCCTAACTTTTGAATTTTTCTCTAGTCTAGTCTTGGAGCTCAAAAGTATCGGTACTTGTACTTGGTATCTGTGCAACCCTATTTAATAGTATCTCAAAAATAATAATATCAAACAGGATTATAGGTCAGATTATATAATGTTCCCTATTATAATGTACTGTAATAGTGTTATTATCGTTATATAATTCTTGGATAATGTGATGGATTCATTATAACAAGGTTATGTATGTTGGTAATTATTTCAAAATAGTGGTATTGTCTTCTTCTTCTTCTTTGGATTGTGTAAAACCTTTCAGTTAATTTCCAATAATTCGGATGCATCCCAATCTCCGAATATACCGATATTCATCCGAATTTCAATTCAGAATGAAACAAATCTTACATGTCTACTACCAATATTTCTATCTATCTATCTATCTATCTATCTATCTATCTATCTATCTATCTATCTATCTATCTATCTATCTGTCTATCTGTCTGTCTGTCTGTCTGTCTGTCTGTCTGTCTGTCTGTCTGAGGTCTTATTTTCGTGGGGGGATGTCTTCCCTGGCTGCAGCTATCGAGATCTCCACTCTCCGCTCCGATGCAAACAGGTGTGCGGACGGGGGGCGCGTTGTGTCGGCGGGCGGTCGTGGAGGGAGGGAGCTGCGGCCGCTCTTAACATGTAAAAATAAATTACATGTGCAGCTACCCCGGAAGTAAGATCTAGCGCTATCTTCAGGGATTTCTGTAATATAAGACCTACCACCAGGGTAGGTCTTACTTTCAGGGAAACACGGTATCTATCTATTTCTCTCTCTCCCCCCCCTATCTCCTCTCTCTCTCACTCCTCTCTGCCTCCTCTCTTCTTCCCCCTCCCTCTTCTCCCCCTTCATATTCTCTCCTCTCTCTCTCCTTTCCCTCCTCTCTCTCACCCCCCCTCTCTCTCCCTCTCTCTCTTCTCACGGCTGGCTGCGGCCACTTGCAGAGACAGATCAGCGTCCCCTGGTTACCAGGTAACCAGGGACGCTGATCTGTCATTACCAGATAGCCCAACTCTCCCAGACGCTCCGCAAGTCCCCCGCTATTAGATAGCGGCTCTCGGCCGCCCGGGAATGAAACACTTTCTCCCGGAAAGGTTTACTCTGTTCGATCGAGCAAAGTAAACCTTTCCCTGCTCTGTTGGGTTTTTTCTTTCTTCTGACATCGGAGCCGCCGGCCGCCGTCAGTCAGAAAAAAAGAAATAGGTAGGACCTGGTGATAGGACATGATAGGTAGGAACTGGCTTGTTTTGGTCTGGGGAGGAGACTAACAAAGTTATAGTCACCTGAGCCTCGGGTGACTGGGTTGCTCTTAGACCAATCCCTGGAGCCTCTCTCCCCCTCCACTGCAGAAGTCTAAGGTCCCGGAGTCATCAGGTTCTATACACAGTGTGTACGATGTGAGAATGCCGACAGACATGTCATCACTGCATGTTGGCTGGTGAGTGTGCTGGGAAACGTTTTGCTGTTGTCCTGTGTAAAGCCCTTCCATGTGCACCTTGGTTGTGAGTTGATGAGTGTGTTTGCCATTCGTTTTGCTAGGCCGGAGGGAGTTCTGTATATTTATTACACATTCAGAGCAAATAGGACTTTGAAATGTAATTCTGCCATAAGAGTCTGCACGTAAAGGAAGCAAAATAAGAGAAACTGGACATTGGAATGGATATTAAAGTGGAACTGAAGCCGAAACCTTTTTTTTAGGGGTGATAGAGTACTGGGGGATTATAACCCTATCAGCATTTTGCCATCTGTGTCCCATTGGTGAGATTTCCCTTCACTTCCTGTCCGATAGCAACAACAGGAAGTGAGAGAAATCCCTGGTCGTCACCAGAACTAATGTCCCCATTGGAAGATTTCCCTTCTATTCCTGTTCTGTTGTTAATCCAGAATTTGGGATTTTCTTTCACTTTCAATGATAAAATTCATCAGGACAGATATAGAGGGCCAATTTCCCTAATGGAGAGGGACACAAACACCATTAAAAAAAAAGACAGGGGGGTTTTGGCTTCAGTTGCACTTTAAGTCAATTTTCTATTTGCAAAGTACATTTTTGCTTATCATAGAGAATAAGGTAAACCGGGCACAGACCAGTGGCGTCACAAGGGAGGGGGTGACACCAAAATGACTGAGAGTCATTTTGATGTCACCCCCTCCAAAAAGTCAGGCACTAGGTCACGGACCGAGAGCCCGACAGTGTCAGGAGAGAGGAGGGGACCTTGCGGCATATCTTATCCCGCCAGGTGAACGTCACCTCCTCTCTCTGCCGGCGTCCATCACCAAGATGGCCGCTGGCAGGCTTCAATCAGATGTCTGTACACGCACAATGACATCATCGCACACGCCCGATGACGACGCGGCGGGGTGTCACTCGGTCTAGAGACAGGGTGACACCCGGCCTCGGGACGCCCCTGGCACAGACTACAAAATCTTGTGGAAAGCCTTCCTAGAAAAGTGGAGGGGGGGGGGGGGGCAACTCCATATTAATGGCCGTGGTTTTGGAAAGAAGATCAGGACCTGGGATGGGGTAGCAGTTTGCAGAAGCCCGTGCACTGCTCTGGAAACGCACAGTTGCAATGCTCTGCAGGCTTCAGCGCACACATGTCATGCTCTATATCATTTATAACATTTCTGCAAATGATGGACTGTTCCTTTAAGAAGGCCGCCATAAGCCTGTCCATGGTGTAGAGATGGACCGTTCGCCTTCTGCAAAGAAAGGCTTCCGACAGCTGCACGGCGCCCCCTATCTCTCACTCCCCCCCACCCGAGAAGCGCAGGCCAAGCGCTGTGTCAGGTGTACCCCAGAGTCCTCTGATACCGCCGCCTCCAATCCACCGTATCAGTCAGCTGCAATCAAGACACAATCCCTGCTCACT